TCGCTTAAAAGAATCGGAGCATTAATCCAAAATTTATTCACCCATTCCATTATTAATCATATTTACAGTGGCCAATTACTATAAAATAAAAAATTGTTCGTTAGTGATTTGCACTCAACAGTTAAAAATATAGGACACAATAAAGTTTGTTGTGAACATGGCACTGTAAGTTTGCTGCAAACCTTGGTAAAGAGTCAAATTTAAACATATTTTTGTTCAAATAAATATTTTTTTTCAAAGTGCAGCATGAAGGGCATAATTTTGGTTTAACATCATGAATTAAAGTCACAGCAAATTTGTACGATATTATGGTTTTAAGTAACGATACGCATTTCGAATGCAATTTCGATATGCGTGCAATTTCGAATGAATTTCTATAGCTTGATAGTACACTCCAAAATTTACTGTAAAATCTACAAAAAAAAACAACATATTTTTAAAGAAATAAAAATGTTTAAACATAAACACAGATTTTTTCCGTTTTTAATCGTTACCCGTACGTTGCAAAAGATTAATTCTTTTTTTTTTTTTTTTTTTTTTTTTTTTTTTGTTTCTTTTTTTTTACAGTTTATTTCCGTTAATTTGTCGGTTTACAGCAGTATTTCACAAAACAGTTTTTCTCTGAAAGTTTAGTTTTTGCTATGCAGCTTTGCTTACCGTATGATAATTTATCTTTTTTCGAATTATTATTTTCTATATTTGCTCAAAATTATTTTATGGTTTTGAGCATCGTATAAATAAAAATTTCAGTTCAACTGTTGATACTCTACCTGATTATTAACTGTCTTTAGATATAATTTTTTAGTGAGTTAAATTGCCAGACCATTATAAGGGTTATTGCAAGATTATTTTAAAGGTAAGTCATTATAGTTTTTAACGTTTTTATACTTAAATATAATTTCAGTAAGACCTTTTAGATAGAAACAGTTTAAGATATAACCAAACATTAGAGTTGCCGTGGCTGTTTCCCAATTGGGTGACACAAATTCAAATCACGCCGTTGACTGCTCATGCACGTACAGCTCTGGACTAGCACCGACCACAATGCTGACATAGTTATTTTATAGCGTTTTTTTTTTATGTTGAAATAACAGAGTTTTGGTCAAAATAACAGAGATTTTTCTTAAAATAACTGATTTTTTTTGTTGTTTTGTTTAAATTACGAAACTTTTGGTTAAAATAAAAGAGTTTGTTTGCTAAAATAACAGTACTTATAAGCTTAAAATACAGCCGTTTTGAAATAGTCCCAGATAGCAAAATAAGGTTTATTTTAACTCAGCAAAAAACTAAGGGTGGTGGCGCTAGTGGTTAAATTGCTCTCGCAAGACTTCCGGGTTACTGCTTCCGATATATTTTCACGCCGCAGATTGAAAAAACGCGCCATCATATTATTGCATCATATCTTTTGCAGTATTTCACATGTACCGAGTTCTTTCTTTCAGCCTTTAAACTTCAGTATTATCATATTAATATTATAATCATTAGAATATTTTCTAATTAGGCTAACTTAAAAAGATATTTTTAAAGATATTTTAGGCGACATTTTATTCAAATGTAGCCAAATAAGGGATAAAATACAAAACATGGCAAACCTTAAGAATTATTCACAATGAGATATTAACTTTCCAAAATTTTTTTTGGCCTTACGACCTCTGAGAATCAATACATTTCTGAAAGCTCTTATGAATGGTA